TATATTTCACAACAAAGTTGGTTTTAAGCATAATTTTCTTACTGAAGTACTAGTAGACTTCATGAGTTTGTTAGTATAAGGAGAAACAGTTAAGCATATCTTTGTTCTTTTTATTTTTTAATTATTAATTTTTTTGGTCTTTTTGAGACAGGGTCTCCCTGTAGCCATAGCTTGCCTAGATTTGCTGTGGAGACCAGGTTGGTGTCGAAGTCACAGAGAACTGCCTGCCTCTGCCTCCTGAGTGCTGGAACTAAAGGCGTGGGGCACCACACCTGGTGGAATTAAGCCTATCTTTGTAATAAATGAGAATCTGATTTGAAAGTGTTTCTTGTTAAGTGATTTTAAATATTTGGAATTAAAATAAGAAAAAAATTTGAGCTTTAGTGGCTGTTTAATGTTTAATGAACTTTATTGTTACTTTTCTGCAGTCAGGTACCACTATTTGTGCAAATTCATCACAAATGGCGAAGAATGTATGTGGGAGAATGTCAAGGTCCTGGTGTCCGGACTGACTTTGAAATGGTTCATCTTCGAAAAGTGCCAAATCAGTACACTCATTTGTCAGGCTTGCTGGACATCTTCAAATCAAAGATTGTGAGTGCATGTTGGCATTGCCAGCCTTACTTGGAATCCAGATAAGAATAGCAGTTTGGTAATTTGAGTGCATAGAAATATTTCTCTAATATCAGTAATGTGATGAATTAAAAGGAAATAGATTACAGATGTTATGAACATTTTAATCAAATACCAATGAGTTTACCTATTTAAAAAAATTTTTTTTTTAATTATTTTTATGTGTATGAGTGTATTGCCTGCAGGCTGTCAGATCCCCTGGAACTGGAGTTACAGACAGTTGTTAGCTGCCATGTGGGTACTGAGATTTGAACCCAGGTCTTCTGCAAGAAGAGTCAAGTGTTCTTAACCACTGAGCCATCTTTCCAGCCCCGAGTTTACCTATTTTTTTCTTACAGGTTGTTAACATTTACTGATTCTATTTTTATTTCTCTAAGAGTTATATTGCTTATCTACCAGTCTAGTAGTCTTCAGGTAGCTGCTAGTTTGAACCATTGACTAAGAATCTTGAGATCTAAACCCGTTGGTTCTGAATTGTCTTTTTCTGTTCCTTTAAAAATATTCTTTTTTAGCCACCATGTGAGTGCTGGGAATCAAACCTGGGTCCTCTGCAAGAACAGTCAGTGCTCTTAACTGCTGAGCCATCTCTCCATCCTTAGCTCCAATTCCAGGGGAATTCAACACCCCCTTCTGACCTCTGAGGCATTGGCATGACACACGTGTACATGCAGACAGTACGCTCACATACAAAAAATAAAAATAAAATAATTAAAAAAAATTTTTTTTCAAATCTTTAACTTGATTTTGAATTCTGTGTTATAGTCTGTGGCTGAAAACTGCAGGGCTATCAGGATATACTGAATATATCTATAGTATTCTAGAAAAAATATGATCATAGGTTTGACAAGATTGCTCAGGCTCAAGGCACTTTCTGTCAAGCCTGATAAGCTGAGTTCAGTCCCCAGAACTCACATGGTGGAAGGAGAGAACTGAATCCTGCAAGTTGCCCTCTGACCTCTATATGTGCACTGCTGCACCCCCTTCTCCCAATAAATAGAATGTAATTTTCTTTATTTTTATTTTTTTGAGACAGGGTCTCCCTGGAACCTGCTCTGTAGACCAGACTGGCCTTGATCTTGTAGTGGTTTGCCTGCCTCTGCTTCCCAAGTTCTATAATTAAAGGCGCCATGCCTGGCTTCTGTTTTGTTTGTTTGTTTGTTTTTCTTTCCTTCCTTCCTTCCTTCCTTCCTTCCTTCCTTCCTTCCTTCCTTCCTTCCTTCCTTCCTTTCTTTCTTTCTAAAAGTTAAAAAAAAAAATACTTGGAGGCAGGGCCAGGTGGATTTCTGTGAGTTCAAGGCCAGCCAGGGCTATATAGTGTGAGAGACCCTGTCTCAAAAAAAAAACAAAACCAAACCTGGGAACAAAAAAGATGGAGGGAGGGAAGGAGGGAGGGAGGGAGAGAGGGAAGTAAGGAAGGATGGACACTATCACACCTTTTAAAAGTTTCCTCTAATCTGCTCTTAGGGAAAAATTAGAATTCTGGGTGCTAAAGTTGACATTATCTCACGTAAGTGATCAAACTTGATTAGCAAACTGAACTTAAAAACATAAATAAAATTATATTTTTATGTATCAGTTAATAAAGTAATTGAAAGAAAAAACCAGCCAACATCATCTGTCTCCTACTGAGATGCACTGATGAAAGTAGAACCACCTGAGTGGTGTTGCCTTCAAAATATTTAATGTAAAAAATATATGGGAGCAATCATTTGTTTCCAAATTGAACCTTTTTACAAAGTAATTGGTCTGGACTCTTGAAAATAAAGACTGGAGCCCTTTACATTAAAGAAGATGAATGGGGGGCTGGAGAGAGCTCCATAACTCCAGTTCCAGGGGATCTGACAGCCTCTTCTGTCTTTGTGGGCATTTACCTGCATGCAGGCAATATACTCATACATACAAAATAAAAATAATAAAATTAAAGTTTTATGTGTATGAGTGTTTTGCCTGCATGTGTGTAAGCACATGCAATGCCCGTGAAGATCAGAAGAGGACGTCGTTGAGTGGTTGATAGCTGCCATGTAGGTGCTGAGAACTGAACCTAGATCCTCTACAAGAACAGCTAGTGTTCTTAACCACAGAGTCATTTCTCCAGCCCCAGAACAATTTTAATATGTACCAAATATTAGAAAACTGTATTGATGTTAAACATCTTGAGTACGTTAACTGTTATAGATATGTAGGGGGTGACGTCTTTGTTTTTGGAATTTCTGAAGTATTAAGGGGTGAACTGTCTTGATGACTGCAACTTTTAAAAGGTTTAGCCAAAAATATAGTACTTATATGTATGCATGCACATGTACACATGTAAGTGCCATTGAACTTGGTGAAAGTCATGTGCATATTGATTGTACTCGTTTCCCTACCTTTTGAAGGTTTTAGAATTTTAAAAAGGAAAAATAGAAAAAAATGCTAGAATTTCCTTTTTAATAAGAATCATTTGTAAGTATAACATTTGGAATTAGAACTTAATCAGAAAAAACTAGGGCCAGAGATTTAGCTCAGTTCAAGAGAGCTTGCCTAGCATACATGAGAACCTTGGTTCCATTCCCAGTACTAGGGAGGGAAGGAGGGAAACAGAATGGATGGAAGGAAGGGAGGGAGGGAGCACTGGTTCCATCCCCATCCCCAGTGCTATAGAAAAGGAGGGAGGAGGTGGAGGGGGGCAGGGGGAGCAAGCCAGCCAGCCATAAAGGTAAGTCCATTTGAAATACCAGGTTATGGGGCTGGAGAGATGGCTCAGCAGTTAAGAGCACTGACTGCTTTTGGCAGAGGATCTGGGTTCAATTCCCAGCACCTACATGGCAGCTACAAACTATCCTTAACTCCAGTTCCAGGGGAATCCGAAGCCCTCTTCTGCCCTCCGTGGCATTGCACAACACGGGTGCACTCACATACATGTAGGCAATATACTCATACACATAAAATAAAAATAATAAATATTTAAAAAAACAGGTTAGGAAATATAAAGTTAAACCTTTTTATTATCTCTGATTCCCTCTCTTTAACATAATTTCTTGTGAGTTTCTTAATTAAAGTAAAAATTTTGGAAATACTCCATGTAGGTGTATGATTTTCTTTTCACAAACTTTCTGGGATCTAAAGTCCCATACTGCCTAATTCTGTATATAATATTATGGCAAATTCTGTACAAACCAAGTATGTTTTGATTTCTGTTTAATTCTTTTTCTCATCAGAAATATCTAATTATATCTTAATTTGGTGAAATTTCTGATCTGGTAGAAATAATTGATGCCTTATTCCTTTAAGAAAATATTAATGAACATTTTCAAATCTTTTCTTTCCCTGCCCTACATAGCTTAACTTCTCTTTTTGAAAACTTCTATTTTAAAAGGAAATGTCTTTTTGTTGTTGTTTGAGATGAGGTTTCACTACGTAGCTCTGGCTGGCCTGGAACTCTTTCTTTATATGGACCAGGCTGGGCTTGGACTCACAGATCTCTCTGCCTCTGCCTCTTAAGTACTGTGATTAAAGACATGTACCACTATGCCTGGCTAAAGGGAGTATTTCTCTCTCTTTTTAATTAATAAAAAATATTTATGGCATTTCTATTTTATGTGTATGATTATTCTGCCTGCCTGCATATAGGCTTATGGATGGTTGTTAGCTGCCATGTGGGTGCTGGGAACTGAACCCAGGTCCTCTTTAAGAGCAGCCAGTGCTCGTAACAGCTGAACCATCTTTCCAGCCCCTAAAGAGAATATCTTGATGTGGGAACCTAGCTTCAATTCTGGCTTTCAATACTTGTACGTTTAAAACAAAAGTATCCCTAATTAGTTTATCATATCATCTGCCACCCTCAAAAAAAAAAATCTTGGTAGAGAGAATTAAAATTAGTTTGCATACTATGTAAAGTTTTCTGCATAAAGCTGTCCGTTATGTGCTCTTTTTCACTATCTTATGACACTTTTTTTTTTTTTAATGAAACCACTACTGGTGTTTTTTTAAATATTTTATTATTTTTATTTGTATGAGTGTATTGGCTGCATGTATGTGAGTGCACACTGGTCTAAGGGGTCACAGTGTTATAAAAATTACAGTAATTTCAGCTCCAGGACCAGGTACAGACAGAGTGTTTTCTAAAAACTTGATAGGTGATGGCTCCAAGTTAGGACCATATCTTGGTAATATTGAGATGGTTGAGCTGGTCTGCAACATATCTATGTGGAGGGAACTTAGAAGTGGTGGCCATCTTGATGGCCTTGAAAGCCTGGGCCATGTGCTCTGCAGCGTGGCTATATTCCTGTTCCACTATCATATAGAGCATGCTCAGCCAGTAGTGAGTTGTTCTCAGCCTCCATCTCTAGGCAACAGATCATGGTCTCCTTCTCAAAAAAGGACACCGCCTTCTGCCACCAATGCTTCCCAATCCACTGCCTGCCCCAAATGCGATTGTGGCAGAGCAGTGTGGTGAGTAACATGGTACCAGCCTTGTTCCTCAAGCCTCCATGTTCCCCTGCCGCTTGACCGAGACTGCCATGACACTGTCTTTATTTTTGTCTTTTTGAGGCAGAGTCTCCCTGTAACCCCACCTGGCTAGCCTTGAACTCACAGAGATCTGCTTGCCTCTGCCTCCCGAGTGCTGGGATTAAAGGCATGTGCCACCATGCCTGGCTGATATTGTCTTTTAAAAGTCACTTGTTGGTATCTGCATCCATGATCCAGGGACTCATCCTTTACCAATAGTTTAGTTCATTTCATAGAGTTAGTTCTTAGAAAAAAATTTCCTTTTTAAAAATACTATTTTTATTTTATGTGTATGCATGTATTACCTGCATGTATGTAAGTGTACCCGTGTCGTGCAGTGCCCACAGAGGTCAGAAGAAGGCGCTGGATCCCCTGGAACTGGAGTTACAGATGGTTGTTAGCCATCATGTGGGTCCTAGGAATTGAGCCCTGGTCCTCTGCAAGAGCAGTCAGCTGCTCTTAACCGCTGAGTCATCTCTCCAGCCCCCAGATAATACTTCCTTTTTGATGGGCACATTTGTAGTCAAATAACTTACAAATTTAAATCTTTCCTGCCATACTCCCAAATATTAAAAAACTTCTCACCTTTCCTTTTCAACTTAATATTCTTAGTTTTCTCAGAATCCTTATTTATGATCCATGGCTTTTCAAATTTGAATGTTGATTGGGATATTTGCCTTTTTTAGAGCTATGGTTTTTTTTGTTTGTTTGTTTTTGTTTTTGTTTTTTTGGTGTTTTTGAGACAGGGTCTCCCTGTAGCCCCAGCTGTCCTGGAACTCACTATGTAGACCAGGCTGGCCTTGAACTTACAGAGATCGGCTTGCCTCTGCCTCCCAAGTGCTGGGATTAAAGGCGTGTGCCACCACGCCTGGCTCAGAACTACACTTTTTTTATTAAGAGTTTTGTTTTGAAATTTTAACTTTTCTATCTGATGTGTGTAGTTTTCAAACTCATGGTTTTGCTCACTGTCTGTATTTCAGAACCAGGTCTTAAAGTGGTGTCTGAAGCTTATTGCTCTGTGGTCATACTGGAAGTATTGTATATATATATATATATAACCTTAGAATTGGAATTTCTTTGCTCAGGATGTGAGAATGACAGGTTTTCCCCTCACAAAGTCATTTCTCAGGCATATGGCTCTAACACAATCTGTGTCCCATGCAGGAGTGCCCTGCCTACTCTGACTTCTGTGGGGAGACATGTTGTGCCTTTGCTGTGGCTGAGTCTTTTGGCTCCTTCCATTTATTTTATTTTATTTGAATTTTTATTACATTTATTTGCTGTGTGTATATGTGTGCACACATGACATAGCACATGTTTAAAGGTTAGAAGATAACTTGAAAGAGTTGATTCTCAGGGCTGGAGGGATTGACTCAGTGGTTAAGAGCATTGTCTGCTTTTGTGGAGGACCAAGTTAGGTTCCCAAACACCCATATGGTGGCTAACAACCATCTGTGGCTCCTGTTCCTGGGAATCCAATGCAGTCTTCTGACCTTCGCAAGCACTTCATGCAACATGGGTGCACTTATATACATGCAGGCAGTATACCCACACACATTAAATAATAAAATATTTTAGCTGGGGAGGCAGAGGCAAGAGAATCTCTGTGAGTTCCAGGCCAGCGTGGTCTACAGAGTTAAGTTCCAGGCTAGCTGGGGCTGCATGGAGACCTTGCCTCAAAAAAGATTAAAAAAAAAAAAAAAAAGAGTTGATTCTATTTCCACCATGTGGATCCCAGGGATTGAATTCAGATCATCAGACTTGGCAATAGGTGCTTTTTGAGCTTTCTTGCTGACAGCTTTGTTTCCTTAGCTTAATGTGTAATCCCAGTTTCTTCTTTCACATCCAGATCTCAGGAGGCATGTGCCTTGAGCCTCGTATATCCCCTTGAGTTTTCTTAGGGTGCCTTTTCTAAGGTCTACAAAGTTATCTGGCTTGTGTTTGCTCCTGTTGCTTTTCAGGTATCTTGTATATTTATCTACAGTGTTTTGTGAACTGGAGCAGAGGTTATCACAGTGACCTTGTTAACACTTCTGCTTCATTTGATACTGGGCCCAACAAACAAGGTTGACCAACCAGAATCACACCATACTTCTCTAAGCCACCTCAGTCTAAAAATTGGATTAATTTTTTTTTTTTTTTTGTCTTTTGGAGACAGGGTCTCCCTGTATCCCCAGCTGTCCTGGAACTTATTCTGTAGACCAGGCTAGCCTGGAACTCACAAAGATCCACCTGCCTCTGCCTCCCAAGTGCTGGGATCAAAGGGGTGTGCCACCACACCCAGCTGGATTCATTTTTTTCATCACAGCCACCTGTATTGCAACTTCAGAAAGAGTTTTTGTTTATCTAAGACTACCAGTGACATGTTCCTATCCCTTTGCTACTCAGAGGGCAGTCTCTAGACTAGCAGCCTGAGGCATACCTAGAAGCTGGGTAGATAGGGAATCAAACCTACACTTCTGACAAAGTTTCTTAGGCAACTCCTGTACCCACTCAGTCTTGTTCTCCTCACATGAAGAGAAGCAGGGATCATAGGATTTTTATGATTGCTAGTGAACTTAAGGATAATACTAGGTCTTCTTTTGTTAACTGATTTTTTTTTTAATTTCATTATTTTTATTTTATGTGTATGAGTATATTGCCTGCATGTGTGTGTAAGTGCACCCGTGCTGTGAAATGCCCGAGGAAGTCAGAAGAAGGCGTCAGATCCCCTGGAAGTGGAGTTAGAACAGTTATTAACTGCCATGTGGGTGCTGGGAATCAAACCCCGGTCCTTTGCAAGAGTAGCCAGTGCTCTTAACCACTGAGCCATCTCTAGCCCCTGTTTGTTTTTTGACATGGGGTCTAAACTGTATTGCCCAGGCTGGCCTGGAGTGCCCTTGGCATTCCTTACTCTCTTTAGTTGGGACTATACCAACATACCTGGTTTAATTTTTTAATGCTGCATAGTCTTTTTATCAAATGGAAACATTTTTGGAAACAGTGTGCAGAAATTATAGAAATGCCTTTTCTACAAATACATGGCCAATTATATAGTGACTTTTCAGAGTATATTTTTCATTTTTTGAGGGAGAGGGGTCTTTTTGAGACAGGGTCTCCCTGTAGTCCTAGCTGACCTGGAATTTGTTACGGAGACCAAGCTGGCCTTGAACTCACAGAGATCTGCCTGCCTCTCTCTGCCTCCTGAGTGCTGGGATTAAAGATGTATACTACCATGTCTGGCTATTTTTCCATTAAAAAAAAAAAAACCAAAAAACTTTATTATTTTTGTTTGTTTGCTTTTTTGAGACAGGGTCTCCCTGTAGCCCCAGCTGGCCTGGAACTCACTTTGTAGACCAGGCTGACCTTGATATCACAGAAATCTACCTACCTCTGCCTCCCAAGTACTGGCACCAAAGGTATGTGCCACCACGTCTGGCTTATTTTTCCATTTTTTAAAAACAAGGTCTAATTTCTTCCTTCTTGACTTTCCAAGTTGCACACCTTTGGATCTAAGTTCCGTGGTTTATTTTTCCTTTTCATGGTTAGACTCTACACACTATTGTCTAACACTATACACTGTAAATGCACATTTCATCATGTTAATATTTTATCTGTTAGTAACTTTCAAATTTTAGTACCGAATCAATCAGAATATAGGCTCAAGCATTTACATGGTATTGTCTTTGCATATGTTTCTAGGGCTGCCCTTTAACTCCCTTGCCTCCAGTGAGCATTGCTATTCGGTTTACCTATGTTCTTCAGGATTGGCAGCAGTATTTTTGGCCTCAGCAGCCTCCAGGTAAGAACTTTTGGAACTGTGTTTAACCTATTATATATAGCAGAAAAGAAAATATATTAAGAAATTGAAATTATTTAACAGTATTTCAGGTGTTTTACACTAGAAATACTTGTACTCACTTTAAATGTAATATTGCTAATTTCCTTGCCTGTATAACTTTTTGTGACAGGGTCTCCCTGTAGTCACAACTGGCTTGGAACTCACTGTGTAGAACAGGCTGGCCTTGATCTCACAAAGATCTACTTGCCTCTGCCTCCCAAGTGCTGGAATTAAAGGAATGCTTTTATAATTTTTTTTGCATGTATGACTTTTTTCTCATAAAGAAAAGCTCTTAAGTTTTTTAGAGACTGTTATTTTGTATTTGGCAATCTGTCTTTGAAAGCTGAGATGATTTATGAGGCATCTCCTATGATGGAACATTGTATGCTGTGCATTACCATTCAGTGATTGATTAAAATATGTATTTTTAGTGTAAGAGAAGCCACTCTCAAACTGAAAACAGTCATATAGAGAACCTTAGAGCACTGGGAAGAAAAATTATGTATATAGTCTTATATGGGAAACAGACTATTTAACATGGTCTTGATAAAAATGTTATCAGAATCAGTTTGCCTGCTTAGTCATTGACAAACTAATTCATTGTCATTATTGATCTCTAATAGGCCAGGCTGTACCAAGAACTCAGTATGAATGAACAAAATGTTATCTGAATTCTAGGAAAGCTCAGCCTGAGGGATGTATAGCCTAATTAAGGTGTTTAGTTTTTTTCCTCCATAATTTGTTGGGGTTGTTTGCTTTTTTGTTTATGTATGTATGTATTTATTTATTATTGTGTGTGTATGTATGTATGTGTGTCAGGGCATGAGTGTACCTTGGGCAGGGAGGTGTAGAGGTCAGAGGACAGCTTGTGGCAGTCAGTTTGTCTTTCTACCATGTGAATCCTCGGGATGGAATTCAGGTTATTATCTTGGCAGCAAGTGCCTTTACCTGCTGAACTGTCTTGCCAGCCCCACAGTTACCTTTTTATAATCCATTCTGTTTCTGTAAGATTGGCAATAATATCTGTACATTCATTTTTTTTTAATTATTATTAGCTTGTATTCATTGTACAAAGCTGGATGTGGTGGCACACGCCTTTAATCCTAGCACTTAGGAGGCAGAGGCAGGTGGATCTCTGTGAGACTGAGGCCAGCCTGGTCTACATAGTGAGTTCCAGGACAGCTGGGCTACAGGGAGACCCTGTCTCAAGGACAAAAAAGCCAACTGGGGCTGGGGAGATGGCTCAGTGGTTAAGAGCACTGACTGCTTTTGCAGAGGACCCAGGTTCGATTCCCAGCATCCATATGGCAGCTAACAACTGTCTGTAACTCCAGTTCCAAGGAATCTGACACTCTCCTCTGACTTATGTGGGCATTTCATGACACGGGTACACCTACATGCATGCAGGCAATACACTCACATACATAAAAGAATAAAATAAAAATTTTTAAAAAGCCAAAAAAAGTGATGTGTTTCATGAAGAAGTATTCAAGTCTATATATACATATATATAAAATTCATATGTGTATATACACACATTGATATAATCTATATTCTGCATATGGGAAAAACTAGTGTTTCTTTCCCCCCATTACCCTCTCTAGCTGCCTTCTTCCCTTAGCTCTCCTCCACTCCTTTATATACATACATACATACATACATACATACATACATACATACATACGCTCCTGTTTATATATGTACACCTAAGTGTAAACATGAAATGTTTTTCTGGATTAGTCTGATTTTGCTTAACATAGTGATTCATTTTCCTGAAGATGACATAATTGCTTTCTGTATGGCTGAATTCAAATTTCATTGTCTATGTTTGTGTGTGTATCACATGTGTATGAGTGTATTGCCTGCATGTATGTGAGTGCATCCGTGTCGTGCAATGCTGCGGAGGTCAGAAGAGGGCTTCGGATTCCCCTAGAACTGGAGTTAAGGACAGTTCATAGCCGCCATGTAGGTGCTGGGAATCGAACCCAGGTCCTCTGCAAGAGCAGTCAGTGTTCTTAACCGCTGAGCTGTCTCTCCAGCCCCCCGTTAATCTTTTAAAGGGCATCTATGCTGGTTTCATATCTTAGCTGTTGTGAATAGAGCAAGTCTGTTGTATGTTGGCTTAGATTTCCTAGTATAACTGGAGAAAATGATAGTTATATTTTTAGTTTTATTTATTTTTTAAAAATGTATTTATTTTAGTGTGTATATGGATATATACACGTATGCATGGAGGTCAGAGGACAGCTTGCTGGTGTCAGTTCTTGCCTTCCCTGATGTGGATTCCAGAAATTGAACCCAGGTCATCAAGTTTGGCAGCAAGCTCCTTTACTTAATGGAGTCATCTTGCTGGCCCTTCTTTTACTTTTCTAATGAACCCCTATTCTGATAGTTGAAAATGCCAGAGCAAGCATTTGCTTCCCACCTGCATTCTTCCCAGCATGTAGTGTTTGCTTATTGAAAGCCAGTCTGACTGAGGTGAGATGGAATCTCAATATACTTTTAAATTCGAATTTCTCTGATAGTTAAGGATGTTCATTTATTTTTCATATTTATTGACCACTTTCATTTCATCTTTTGAAAACTATATTCATGAGTCAGACATGGTGGCGCCTCATCTTTAGTCCCAGCATTTGGGAGGCAGAGGCAGGTGGGATCTCTGTGAGTTCAAGGTCAGTCTACAAAGTGAGTTCCAGACTAGCTGGGGGCTACAGGGAGACCCTGTCTCAAAAAGACTGAAAAAGAAAAGAAAAAGAAAACTATATTCATTTCATTTGTCCTTTTATTGGTTGGATGAGTTGTCATTTTTGTGTTTAGTTTTTTTGTTCATGATAGCTTTTTAAAGATACTGATGCCCCAATTAGATATATAGCTGGCAATGATTTTTTCCTGTTCATCTGGCTGTTTCCTTTCCTGTGCAGAAGAAGCCTTTCAATTACATGCATTCACATTTTTCAGGTCCTCCCTCTCCTTCTATAGCTCAGGCTGGTTTGGAACTGACTGTGTAACCTATGCTGACTATGTAAACCTAGACTACCTCCCTTGACTATCTTTAACCCTCTGGCTGTGATAAGTTATCCCCAAGTTCCCTGATTTAGGGTTATTCTTTGTGATCAGGCCCCTACGGTAGCTTCTTAAACATTGTTCCAAGAGTGGTGCCTGGCCATTGCCCTCTGGACATGAATGGACAAAAATGGATCCCTTTCCACTGCTGACCTGTCACTCCCAAGGAGTTTTTCTGTCTCACCAGAACAGGAGCTGGATTTGAGGCTTGCAGATCTGTGGCCTTGTCCGGTGTTAGGAATCCAAATCTCTTTCCACCAGGACCACCTTGCTCACTCTACCCACCACAGAACCTTGGCAGCTGGAACCATATGCTGCTTGCTCCATTTTGCTGTGTTGTCCTTATTTTTGTCTGTACTTTTTGTTACTTCCTTTGTGATTTCCTGTGCAAAATAAGACCTTTATTCTGTAATAACAAATTCAAGAGACTAGCAAAAGAGAACGTTCTTACTTTTCCATTCTGCAGAAACAGACACCAGCCTACAGAACAGGCATAAATGGTTGTTGTGCCAATTTGGAGTCCCTGATCTCAAGAAATTCCTGCCCTCTTTTTCCCATATGCTGGTACCCCATAGAGAGTTACAATCTTCATGCTCTTCTAGAACTTCCCCACCCAAATTTCCCATCCTGTTGGTTTAGGATGTAAAGCCTTATCTAATGAATGTCCTGGGGTTTGCACAGGTCTCATGGTCATGGTCTTATTCACGTAGCAGACTGCCTGTAACTTTTCGACCCTCAGAGCTCTGAGACATGCAGGCACCAGCTGCTAGCTAGGGAGGAGATACACATAGTGTCTCCTGCTTATCTGTGATTCTTTGATGAGTTCTAAGTGTACCGCATATACTGACAATGGACCATAATGATTTATTTCTTATATTTCCCATGCTCTTCCAGTCTTCTGTCTTTGGAACAGAGTCTGTTCTTTATTATCCTGCCTCTTCGTTCACCCTATCACACAGATGCAGCTTTTAATCCACCACTTTTAGGTGAGCTTGTATTGTGTGTGTATATGTGTAGTGAATGCATGTGTGCGTGGGTGCAGGCCAGAGGTAGATGTCAGAGGTCTTCCTTTATCACTTTCCACCTTATTTTTTGAGACAGACTGAACCTGGAGCTTGTGGTTTTCGACTAGACTGACTGGCCAGCGAGCCCTCAGGATCTGCCTGTCATTTCCCCAGTGCTGTGGTTACAGATATGGCCACTGTCTAGCTTTTATGTGGGTGTTGGGGATCCAAACTCATGTCTTTATGTTTACACAGTAAGCACTTTACTTAACTGAGTCATCGGCTCCCCTCTCCCTCTTTTTTATTTTAAAGGCAGGCTGATCTTGAACTCCCTATGTAACTGAGAATGACTTTGAACTTCTTAACTTTTATCCCCTCCTCCCAAATGCTTGGATTATAGGTATGCACCACCAAACCTGGTTTTAGGTGAACTTATGACTCTTGGGTATTTCACCTATGAGTGTATTATATTTCAAATACATTTAATAAGAAATGAAATATAGATTTATAATAACTAGAAGACTTTCTGTTTTTGTTTTGAGACAGGGTCTTGCTGTGTGTCTCTGACTGGCCTATTACTCACTTTGTAGCCCAGGCTGGCATTGAACTTACGGCAACTCCCCTGCCTCAGCCTCCCAAGTGTATAGATTGCAAGTATGAGCCACCACATCCATCTATTAGAAGACTATTCTAATTTAAAAACTTTTAGTCTACTTCTCACAAAGAAAACAAATATTTTTCATGGTTTATTTTGTTCCAACTCTTTGGCTATTTGTAAGATTAAAAATAATAACTACTGGGCTAGGGATGATACTGAAATTAATACTGTACATCCTTAGCCTTAGGCAGTTATGTGCCAATACTGTTTTATATATAACTGAATAACTTAAACGTCTAATGTGCAGTGAAAGAACTACATCTAAACCATAATAAAGGGAAGTAAAAGCTAAGGCTTTTAGTTTCCAGTCAGCTTCAAGTTACAAGTTTTCATTCCTCTTTTTTCCTTTTTTTCAAGGCCATTCTATTAATTAGGTTAAACCTTTCCCAAAGTAGAGGCTTGGGGTGTATACCAGTGATACAGCACCTCCTTAGCCTCTGTGAGGTCTTACATTTAATCCCCAATTCCCAAACAAGCCCCAAATATTTCCCAAGGTGGTGTAGTTCTAATGATCTAAGAAGCCCAAGGGCTAGAATCCTACATTGTAATTCTGATAGCCAATAAGGTGTTTGTTAATGTTCTGTTGCCAGATTTTTAAAAATGTGAATAAAAATATTAAACTCGGGGCTTGAGAGATGGTTCAGTGGTTAAGAGCACTGACTGCTCTTGCAGAAGACCTGGGTTTGGTTCCCAGCACCCACATGGCAGCGAACAGCTGTACCTAACTCCAGTTCCAAAGGATCTGATGTCCTCTTCTGACCTCTGTGGGTATTGCATGTCATAGGTATACTTACATACATGCAGGCAATGCACTCATACACATAAAAATAATAATTTTTTTTTTTGTCTTTTTGAGACAAGGTCTCCCAGTAGCCTCAGCTGGAATGGAACTCACTGTGTAGACTAGGCTGGCCTTGCAGAAATCCACCTGCCTCTGCCTCCTGAGTGCTGGGATTAAAGGCTTATGCCACCACTTCAGTGGATATTGTTCGTATCTTAATTTTATTTAATTTTAATTTATTATGCAATACAAATACTGTTATGTTTCTTAGAAAAATGTAAGAATCTTAAGGAAAGTAACCTGATGTCACATGGTCACCAGGTGATCAAATGTGCTATCAGGTACTAGATAAACTCTTAATTCCTTGGTTCTTTTCATTCTACAGTGTTGCTTATCAATTTTGGGGGGGAGGGGGTCCTTTTTGGGACAGGATTTCCCTGTAGACTCAGCCTGGTGGCCTGGAACTCGATATGTAGACCAGACTGACCTTGATCTCACAGAGATCCATTTGTTTCTGCCTCCTGAGTGCTAGAATCAAAGGCCTGCACCACCACACCTGGCACTTACCACCTTTTGATTCAGTTAAAACTTTTGTACAGTCATATTTTGGTTATTTTTTAATTATTTATAAAAATGCTTATAAATTTTGAAGCTCACAAAAGTTCATATCTTGTAGTAAAATGTTGCAGGTATTGTTTAGAAAAATGGAATGCATTAATTGGGGAAAATTACTTAATAATTTAGCCATATTTACTAAGTAATTTACTTAGGTTTAGTCAAATGTGATTTAACTCAACAATAGACTTTAAATATAGGAATTTTTAGTTTAATGTTAACATCTTAAAACTACCATATTCAAAGAGAAATAAATCCTTTTAATGTCCTTTCAAGAAGTGCTTATTAGTTCCTCAAGAGGGATGAAATTAAGAGTCTGAGTTACCCTCTCAGTCCTCCTCCAGTGTAAAGACATTCATATTGGAAAAGATTCTTTACTGAATTTTAAATATTCCATTTACTGTCACCAGACATAATTTTATTAATGATGAAAAACCTGGCAATTTGTTATTCATAAATCAACAACAAAACTAAAGAATGTAGGTTGGTGATTAAATTTTTCAGTACTTAATCTTTTTAAATTTTATTAATCATGTTCTTAGAAAATTATGAGAAAGTACAGGAATAATATTCTCTTGTAATAGTTAAGAAATATTGAATAAGAGCAAAATTTAGAATGGATGGCTTGATTGAAACAATGACTAATAAGTGTATCTTTTATTTGTTTTTTTTAAGTTTTACTTATTTAATGTGTATGAGTGTTTTCCTGCATGTATGTAAGTGCACTTGTGTGTGAAATGCCTAAAGAGGCCAGAAGAGAGTGTCGGATCCCTGGAACTGGAGTTATAGGTAGTTGTTAGTTGCCAAGTGGATGCTGGGAACTGAACTGAACTCGGATCCTCTGGAAGAGCACCAGTGTATCTCTCCAGCCCTTGTCTTTTTTTTTTTT